TGCGATTACAAAGAACAAAGGCATCAACTCCTCCCCCCTCTTTCTGCTCCATCTCTCCTCTTCCCAATCATTTCTTCTCTTCGCTCTCGCTCTCGCTCTCGCTCTCGCTCTCGCTCTCGCTCTCGCTCTCCAGGCTTTCTCGGCTCTCGCTTCCGCTCTCGCTCTCGCTTCTCGCTCTCGTCTCCGCTCTCCGCTCTCCGCCCGATTCTCGCCTCTCGCTCTCCGCTTCCTCGGCTCTCGCTCTTCGCTTCTCGCCTTCTCGGCTCTCGGCTCTCAGCTCTCGCCTCTCCGCTTCGCCGCTCTCCGCTCTCGCTCTCGCTCATCGCCCTCTCTCTCGCTTCTCTCTCTCTCTAAACTCTTCTCTCTCTCCTCTCCTCTCTCTCTCTACTCTTCTCTCTTCTCTCTCTCGTTTTTTCTTCTTCTCTCTCTGTTTCTCTCTTCCTCCCTCTACCCTCCCATATATATTATATATTATATTACTGTATATATATATATAAAAATATATAGATATATATATATATTATATATATTATAGATATTAGATATGAAGCAAGGAGAGAAAAGAGAGAGAGGAGAGAGAGAGAGAGGGGAGAGGACGAGAGAGAGATGACGGCAGAGAAACGAGACGAGGCAGCAGCGAGAGCATACGGCCCTTCTCTCTCTCCTCCCGCCCGCGCGCTCGCTCCAATTCCTTCATCGCCCCTTTTCTAAATCTCCCCTCCATCCATTCTCCACGGTTTTTTCGAGCTCGTGCTCTTCCCCCTGCCGTCTTCTCTCACTCTCTCTCGGCTCTCGCTCTTCTCTCCTTCTTCTCTCCTCTCTCTCTCCTCTCCTCTCTCTCTTTCTCTCTTCTTCTCTCTTTGTCTCTCTCTCCCCCTTCTCTCTCTCTCTCTCTTCTCTCTTCTCTGCCCGCCCTCTCTCTCTCTCTCTCTCTTCTTCCCTCCCTCCCATTTCTCGTTCTAATTAGCGCGTAGGCTTCACGTCAGACACAGCTGCGCCTGCGATTGCACGTGCGGATGACTCACTGTCACACCGCTACAGACAACAGCTTTAACTGAAGCCCCTGCTCACGGAAGCCCCTGCTCGGCAGCAGCATGCTATATTCTACATGTACTCTCTCGCGGCGCATCATGTGCCATTTTAAAAGAGGAGGAAATTCCTCATCCATCTGCGTAGACAATCAGTCAACACACCACGCAAAAATACATTTGGCCGGTCGATTTTTGCACGCGCTTCCACAGAGCTGAGCATCAGTCACTGATCCCCGCCGTGCTGTACGCGCTTCCTCTATATAGATACGAGTATCGGAGATTCAGAGTATACCGTCGCCGGGCGAACTTTAGCCGTTAATCGGCAACAAACGCGCGCAAAACGCTCGCCGAGAAGAGAGAAAACCTGTCTGACCTTGAACCAAATTGGGGGAGAAAATCCCTGCCCCATCGCTGAACCTGCACGGTCAGTTTTGTTCGCCGCTGAATGGCGGGCATTGTCGCCTGCGCGGGGAGGCGGCGGCCGCTACAGCGCGGGGATGAGTGGTGTCTATGCGCGTGCGATGCTTGCCGGCTCCTCGCATACCTGCCTGAGCTGCTCTTCCCTGACAGGTGTCCCGAGTGGCATGCGTGGGCAGTTATAGCACTAGCACTACATAGCCCTTCGCTCTACCACAGGGTGAGCGAAGGGCTATAGGCCTGTGGCAGAGCGAAGGGCTATAGTTTTAGAGCCAAGGCAGCTACGCTCCGCCCTTGCAGCCCTTTGCTCATGTTACAGGGTTTTAATTTATACAACCTAAAGGGCTGTGAAACGGCGGTGAATCTCATCCAGAGCTACCGCTACACGTGGCCTATCTGCCTATTATAGCCATCACATAGCGTGTACGTTACTGTAACCCTAATGCGGAGTGATGGTCTACTTAGGTAGAGTTAGGGCAGCTAGAAGGGCCCTCAGTATGGTTCGACCTCCTGCCATTTCGTTCCACTTCCATACGCAGTATTTCTAACCTAGTTATGGTTTCCCAACCAGAGTACTAGTATATCAACGGTCGTTAAAATCTGAGAACGTAATGCGCGGTTACTGAGTGCTGCCTCATAAAAATGTCACAGCTAATGAACCACGCACTGAGCCACTGCTGAGGGTCACCCACTGTTGTTCAATCATGTTCAATTGTTATTTCATTACGGATCGCTGCCTTCATGCCTAAAAAATGGCCAGCTGGTTGCTAGCTTATTCGAATTCCACTTAATTAATTTTAAATTTAACAAACTACTGAGATTTTTATGAGACTTCGAATACCAGTGAAGTATTTGAAAACCCTTGAAGTATTGAAGTATTGAAGTATTGAAGTACTTAAAACCTACTCACTGACGTTAATGCACAATGCTGATGCGTGTGACCGTAGTGCTGTTGTAGATCATAGAAAAAAATGCAGTGAGAACAGCGAGACAAATGACACTGAATGTTTCGTGGGGTGCTTGCACTCACTCGTCCTCACTCTACATCTTCGCATCGTGTCCGCACATCAGAGACATTGACCAAGGTCCAAATTTGCGTTTGCACGTATGTTCGGGAGATACGTCAGCCATTCGGGAGATAACTGCCAGCCATTATCGGTTTTTTACCAAATGATTTCTCCTGAGGTCTTCCGTCTGAACACGTTCGGTCACAGCCGAGTAAAGTAAGGTGAAGTACACACGCCCACAACCCCGACCTTACAATATAAGGTGGCATACGCAACTCAACCTACGGTGCGTACTACAGACATTACTAATATTTTGATCGGAAGTCATTACAGAATGACGAATGAAAGCCGTAAATAAATCTCCCGAGCGTCTAAACGCATCATAAGCTTCATTTAGCATCGCGCACTATTTTTAGACGTTTACAGTCACTATTTACTTCAGAGCTGCCATCCAGCTCTAGCGCAGATGGTTGCTATCATCCTACCCACCAGCAGCAGAGATCCACTAGCCCCGTTAGCTAATCCCACCGCTTGCTAAGACGCTGGCCACCTTCCAGTTCGCTTGGTCAATTCGACAGACTCCGCCTCGCTGGGATCCCTCCAAGAATTCCCTATTAGGATTAGCCCATACTGCCAGGAACTCTTCTCGACATTCACTGCATACCCAATGTTTTGTACCACAACAGGTTAGTGTATATAGACTTCAAGAAAAAATTTCGGTGTGGTACACTGCGTTGACGGTGAGTGGTTGGAGCAACACAGGGCAGACCCCTTGGCAATCACTATTCGGACTATAAAGCTCAGTCATCGCTTACACACGTCCCTCACAGGTGAGAGGTGAATAGTATTATACGCACCCTAGTTCTGTCCAGCGGGTTGCCGAAGTCCAGGTTTTGTGGAGCAACGAACAAATAGCCACACTTTGAGACTTTCCTTGCCGCCTGCAAATTTAAAGAACATTTTTAAATATACGCTAATCGCCGATGCTAGGTTATTCTTCATAAACTTAATAAAATTTATAGACTACTCTCTGACACAGCTAGAGAGCATGATGCTTCTAAACATTTATGCTACACTACCATGTGATGCGCGTACAGTGACATACAGCATGACACGCACAGTTACAGTGTAATATGTGTAGTGTATAATCATTGTAGGCGGCTGCATACTAGTGTGGGTCTACAGAACAATCTGACTCATCAACAATGTGATACATTAACAATCACCAATTATGTGATAAATTTCCAAATTTATGCGGACAGTGTGATACATATGTACATGTATTACTATATGTACATTCACATGGGATACACGTGTAACGTATATATATATATATACAGTTATACAAATAGTAGAATATAAGTATTGAGTACACAAATCTAGAGTGTGACATGTGTGAAGCATCTACGTGTATTAACATAGGCTGTGCATGCAATAAAGCTTATAAATACGGAATTAATAATGATCCTCAACGCTCGTGTCAATATATAAAGTTGTTCTAATCTGGTCGAAGCAATCACCGCTGACAGAAATTTACTGAGCGGCTGGGGGATTTGCCTGCAATATCACAAAAAGCAGCCTAGAGGTGCACAGACAGTGCCTAGTTAACTTTCGAACGTCTGTGAATGTGAAATTGAATTTAAGCACGATTGCGATTCATGTATGTTAAATCTACACACGTAATACGTCTAGCCAGACCTGTCTGTAAACTGGGGCCAGTAGCTAGCAAGAATGTAGGTGAATGAGCAGTGAAACTGTGCACTGAGTACACAAGCATAATTAATTACATATAGCCACTATATTAGCATTATTTGCTGACCTCAGGCAATCTCTAGCCACCGCTGTTTATAATAAACCTACTGTATAACCTACCTCATACATAAAGCCTGCTAGCAGAATAATTAGAGACTATATAGGCCCAAACACACACCACTGACTGATCCACAGATCATCGCCAAACTAGAAACAAGAATCCCAAATCCCCATATATACGTAATGACCAACACTGTGGCATTCCAAGACACGCTAAATATCTAGACGCCAGTGAGGATTCACTGCAACCAGCTGGTACCAAAAGGGAAAGGCTCTGTTGTGCAAGGTTACATAAATCCAGAGGAATCGCTTTCGCTGCGCAGTTAATGTGTTATGCTTGGGCTGACCCACACAGCAGATTAGTCGCTTTGCAGCCAAGAGACCAGCGCGAAAACAGGTTGAGTAAGCAAATGGGAGCCAAGTTGACAAATAATGAGGAACAATTGTGTGTACATATCATTATCGAGCACCACCTAAGGATGGGACTAGCTGATAGAACACGAACAATAAGCTAACTTTTAAGCAAGTACACAATTCAGTTATCCTAGCTAATGTCTTCCCATCAGGTGAGGCATGCCTCTAAGTAAACAACAGTCAACTATTTACATAAATGCCAATGCTTCAGTTGGTAGTTTATTGGTCGTGATCGCATCAAGAGATCGCTTTATTTTCATATGATTAATTATTGTGCACTTAATCACACACATGCAGCACCATTAGTATCTAGAATGTTTATATAGTTTGCAGTTGGACATCTGTTACAAAATTGCTCAGGAGTCAGATGCTTGTGTGCCTTGGCATGCATGATGTACATTTATCATATTTCGTATCTATATGACTATCTGTGTGCACAGTCACACTGTCAGACTACCTTGATGCAAACACTGTGAACATAGGGTGACCTAAATCTCTATCACCCAAACTTTTTACCACCAATTACACACAATAAATCAGACATTTTATTCGTTTCGTCTCCTTTATTTCGTGTGTGCATTACGCTACTTAACCATTAAGAGCTACCACTTCCCACCCAGCCTGGCCTCCCTCAGACTTGCAGTTGGCGCTCAAGTTAAGACTGCCTGGATAGAAACAGATTGCTGTACCTTGCTGTTCTCCAATGCCTCTGCCGAATGGCTGCCCTTATTCTTAAAGCAGGCCTGACACTTGTTCTTGTTGAACATGTTCGGCGCAAACTTGCGGCAATTGGACTTGGCACCGTCACTGGCCATGTTCAGCGGTCAGATTCAGCTAACGGCGCTCACGGAGGATGCTGACAACCTTTTCAGTTATTTCGGCATCAGTCTGCGAAGAAATAGATAAAAGGACTGTAGTACTTCTGGAAGACGGGGTGCCATGCCATTGTAGACACTCTCAGGTCGGCCGATGTTCTACTAGTCCAGTCATCCCAATCTAATTCTAAGATGTGTCATCTTTAGACACTACATTTACCGATATAATTAAGTAATCGTAGACACCAGAAAATAGTATTAATTATTATATTACACAGTTCATTGCTTTTAACAAGGTGATGATAATAAACAATGGGGCTTCAAAGACACCCTTACAACTAACCAATCACAGTTTGATAGGCATGCGCTGCTAAACAGCTCAATGAATATTGAGAATGTTGAAGGGGCTTCAAAGACACCCTTACAACTAACCAATCACAGTTTGATAGGCATGCGCTGCTAAACAGCTCAATGAATATTGAGAATGTTGAACAAAGATGGACATTATAATCACGAAAATCACTTTCATCTTGTGACATATATATAATGTAGTAATCAACGGTGTGTGGTACTGTCTTGTAACGATGGGATTTTTAACAGCTACTCGTTTGAAACATTATGATCATAGCAAATTAGATCAAGACTAGAAAATCATGTCGATTTATTTGCTAGCACGTTTAATACCAATTTCGTGTCCTTATGCTCAGTACAGAGAATTGCGGCGAGGAATATAGGTAGAATAAATATGTAACCCAACAAAGTAAGATCTATCCAACTCTGTACATTATTGACAAGGTGTACATCATTCATGGTAACTAACTTAGTACTCGTGTGATTTAGCAACGTACGGTACCTCAACTGAAGTTATCACAGCTGCGTCCGTTGCAAGATCTTATCCATATAGCTAGGCGATAAACACGTGCTTATCCCAATAATGCCGTTGCTGCACATAAAATCACACAAAACGGCGAGGAACGACAACAAAACTACAACGCCTTATGTGTGCGCCCATGCACTTGTAAACACCTATCAAGTATCAACATAGATACCGAGCCCGTGTATTGGGCATGCGCGTGCGACCTCGTGGGTCATTCCTGCGCACTAAAAGTAGATCACAATATATACATATTTCCAGTGACTTTCCAATTTTAGGCAAAATACAATGTAAACTAATGTTTATATTATATTATTATCTACCGTTTTTTTTACTTTATTATCAAATTACTATTAGAATATATTACTATAGTATGAGTTTCGCACGAATACAAAAATACAGAAAGTAGATCAATCACATTAGTAGATTAGTCTTTGACAGTACGGCTTTGCCATCTGTTGAGCAAAATAGTGTCGAATGTGTATATGAGGTTTTCCACGTGCACGAGCATATCCAACCAACGAGAATCCACCAGTATAGGTGGCGTACAACAGTAGAGGGCGTACATAGGCAGCAGGCCTGAATAATCATCGAATAGAAATTAATTAAAAATACTCACACTGTTACTTCGCATACACAACATACACTATATATACATAACAAAAATCACAAATATGGTTAGGATACGATTTTTAGTTCTAATTTAGGAAATTGAGACAATTTCACATCCTCATCTCATTTTGCATTCTTTATAGAATTCAGCATGCAGTTCTTTATTTGAACAAGCTTATTATTTAATATTCAAGTAATCCCTGTTTAAATTTAGGATCTGCTCAAAAAAGAAAATAAGCATATCAAGAGAACTATATGCCCAAGTACGCTAGGTTGAACTATTGCAATAACATAAATATCCTCATGTATAATTTTAACATTTATATCATATATTTCATTATTGACGCATTTCTATTCCGCATTATATAAACATGTGAAGTATGTTTACGTGAGTTAGTTTTGTTATATAATAAAATTATTAAAGTAGATATCCACTATCTCACAACTTTTCTAAACTTAATCACTATCAGAGCAGAATTTTAAAAACACACACACGCGCACGCACGCACGCACGCACGCACGCACGCACGCACGCACGCACGCACACACACACACACACACACACACACTCACACACTCACACATCATATATGTACAAAAATATCCACATAGATGATGATGTATCCTGACATTTTTTGTTAAAAAGTTACGAAATCACAGACCACTAACTATAAACTACCTACTAGACAGGTGTTTATATGGTCTCAAATGACGCTGTCCTGCCTTTTCAACAATACCAGCATGCCATTATCAAGGAAAACGAACCAAATGAGACCACGCAAACATAGTGCATTTACATCTTGATATATGCGGCGCCTATAACGTCACCTGTGACGTATTTGTTGGACTTTGGATTGAGTCATTCGGCCATTGCCAAATCTTTCACGTTGCACTCATAGCACCGCGAAACAGTTTTCTCTATATCGACTCAACAGTAACTATTCAAAATGGGATCAGACACTGTCAAACCACCCAATGCATTCAGTTTGTTTCTGTGGAATCCTAATACCAAGGAGTGTCTTGGAAAAACAGGAAAGAGTTGGTGTAAGTATATGCCTTTTTAGCGACCAGTGCCTGCAACCTCTAACTGTGCAAGGACATGCACTATCATACCAAATAAGCTAAATTACTTATCTGTTATAGTTTAGCTTAAATTCGACCTATGAAAATCTGATTTGACTTAATCGCGTATCCGTGTATCCGTTCAACATGAACTTGGATAGTAGTAATGTATGGTATATGGTAAGTGATGGTATGTGTTCTTTTAAACCGCGCTACTATGAAATTAATTTGACTGAAATACATTAACAGAACTGTTGTGCGTAAAATAAAATTAAAAGAATAATTAATCCAGTTCATACATCTATCATCTACGATATCCGTTTGCGTTCCGTTAAATGCCACGAGATGATCATTTCCAAGGACATACGCACACGCAAACGCACACGCACGCGCAAACGCACACGAACACGCACAGGCACACGCACACGCACGCGCACAGGCACACGCACACGCACAGAAACACGCGCACTCGCACGCGCACGCACACGCACACGCACACGCACACGCACACGCACACGCACACGCACACGCACACGAACACGTACACGCACACGCATAGAAACACGAACACGCACACGCATACGCACACGCACAGAAACACGAACACGCATAGGAACACGAGCACGCACACGCACAATCACGCACACACACACGCGCGCGCGCAGACGCCTTCGTGCGTGCAGGCCTACGTATTTACGCGCGCTCGAACGCGTAGACAAAACGATCTTATATTCACATTCGTAAGTTCAAATACACGCATGCATACGTGTTTGCATAGCATCCATGATATAGGATACTGTACATCGCTTATAAAACGACATTTGTTTGTCTTTGTCGATTGTATTCTGCTGTAAAAACGCTGCGCATATATTCACTATATAGGTCGTCAATGTTTGAATGTTCGAACTTACTTGTACCGTGTATGATTAGAACCGGCGATATCCTGTAAATTGTAAAATGACTACAAGACACAACCCGTTTGACTAGAATTATATATGCCTATTATATGGCCATATAGGAGAAAAATGCGACTATATTCATCGCGGAAGCGTTGACAAAGTAATCTCCGTGTTCGGACAAACGCAAGGGCTATGCTAGATCTTAGAGCCTAGTATTACAATACGAGAATGGCGTTCTCAGAAATATATCTTAGCGTTGGAGCTGATATGGTGAACCCTGTAAGTTTTTCCCACAATTAAAATGACTTTATGACTGATTTAATTAGCACAATCGCGCCGCACTGTTTCAGGGATATATTTTACAAACGCGAGACTCGACCGCTTTAGTGATTGCAACCATTGATAGCGTTCCATCCCCGCATGAGTTTTAGTGAAATGAATCGTAGGGATAAGTAATTAAACTCAAAATTGCAAATTTCTCTGTAAATCAAGAAAATAACGAACACGTGACTTGATTTCAGACGAGCTCATCCAATTGAGCCATTATAACCAGATCGACTGCAAAATAATTATTATGCACGTCTGACATTTTTCACACAATCTCATGTTTTTGTTCGGATCAATTTGATTCATTATACATTATTGAATATGCACATATCAGGCATACCACTCACTATCTGATGTGCCTGAGTAACTGTGTATGCCTCATAGTGATACATATACATGAAAAGAAATGTTTTATAGTGAATAGAAATATAGCGCACGACGGAACACGTGGCAGAAAGGGAACGAATATATATCTTAATAATAATAACTGTCGCTGTTTTAATGTGTAATTATATTCTCTTAAGGTTACGAGAGTTTGAACAGGTTAGATCTGTTTACAATTATCTGATGGCTGTTTTCTGACAAACTGTCATGGTCTAGAATTATGAATAGTTTTATGTTAAATCTTCGATCTGTCAACACCCACGTCAGTTAAATCAACTGAAAAAAATCAACATGCACTTCTATGACTTCCTTCGATTTATTATAGTTACACTGCAATAAAATTTACCTCTGACGAGGCTTGGCAGTGATTTGAGAACCTTAGACTATTCGGGTTAGGGTGACTGAAGGGTTAACCGGCGCATATAGGCAGGCTATCATCTAGGCAGCATATCTATATCTATCGATATACAGCATAGCCATGTAAAATAGAGATCTCTATTATCTACCCATGATATACACGTATATGTGACTGGCGCGACCCAAGATAAGTAAGGTGTACGCGTACACGAGGTAGAAAATTGACTAATAAGTGTTTGGATCAACAGACCACGATTGCAAATTACTGAGTACTCTGTCAGCGTAAACTTCTATACATTTGACATTATATCTTCTCATCTTGGTTTCTTTCAGGTCTACTCATATTCTTTTTCATCGTCTTCTATATATGCCTCGGTGGATTCTTTGCCGTAAATATACTTGCCTTTCAGTCCACCCTTAATGAACTAGAGCCGAAATATTACGGAAAAACAAGCATTCTTGGGGGAACTCCAGGTACTCTAGAGCCTAGACTATTTAAATGATTGGAAGAATGATTAATTTTAAAAGTAGGTCTATGCCTAGCAATTAATTATCAGTGACGTATAAGTGAAAATAAAAATGCACGCGAATACGCCGTTTTTATGCACCTAGTCGGTATTTATTTCATGAATTGTAAATTCTATTGATACGTACTTTGGATGAGTGGTGGTAGGATATATTTATTCATAATTATGTTAAAATCTACAATTGCTTTATTATGTTAAAGAAACAGATATCGTTTAACAAGACCACCATAGCTTCATGTTAGGCAAAACAATTCCCCCATTTATTACTTGAACACTAATTTTATCCGTTTTTTCGAAATTTAGGAATGGGCTTCAGACCGCAACCGGACACTGAAGCAGTATTGATACACTTCTCTGTCAGTAGCAACAAAACACACAGTCAATATGTGAAAGCACTGGACACATTTCTAGAAGGTATGCTAACATTGCTTGGTTATTCGAACCCAGTGAGCGCTAGTTGGAACCTGTGCACCCCGAATGTTTACATGATATTTTGGCATCTTAAAACGAGTATTGCGAGAATTTTGCTCAGAAAAACTAAATATAGCTGAATATAGTCTCACATGACAGCGAAAATATCACTGATTACACCAACATTCAAAACACCAATATTTTATGCAGTTATAGCAAAGAAAAATTGATTTGACCACATCATACCAGCAATAAATTTTTTCGAGTCAGGACATATATGACATGTTCTCGGCAAAACGATGTTTCATTTTCCAGCCTATCAGCCAGTGGCACAACAAGGACCCCACTTTATCACATGCGACAAGTCTATGGGGGCCCCCGCTGACAGAGTTTGCAAGTTTCCAATACCAAAACTTCCAGGATGCGAGAGAGAAAACAGCTACGGCTTCAAAGATGGCAAGCCATGCGTGATTCTGACACTGAACAAGGTCAGCATCTTACTATATAGGAGCATCTTACTATATATAGCATCTTACTATACAGGAGTCTAAATGATATAAGTATGAATGCTTCGCGCGCGGGTTTACATTGTGATATTATGCCAAATGACAATGCCAAACCCCGCAGAAACTAAGAAAAATCGCATTTCACATAATATCTTGAAAAAATCTCTTGCAGATATTTGCATGGATACCCGAGCTCCATGACAGCATAAGTATAGCAGCAGCAAACGCACCAGATGAGCTACTACAGCGATTCAGGGAGGGTTCGATAGGAGTTTCCTGCAACGGAAGGGTAATATACAGCTAGCCGTTCATTTGATCGGATTCCGTTGACATTGCGAATAAAGAATAGCTATAGCTCCTTAGACTAAACTTCACTGAGATTTCACGAAAAAGTAACTAATTGGTTCGTCGTTTACTTTTGCTTTAATAACTTTTTTCGTGGTAGGAGGAGATGGATGTCCAGCATATAGGCCAAGTCGAGTACGCGTCCGCATCCGGCTTTTCGGCGGAGTACTACCCATATTGGAACCAGGACGGTTACATACAGCCCTTCGTTTTTGCGCGTTTTAAAAATTTGAAACGCGATGTCGCAGTCAACATCGAGTGTAAAGCCTGGGCGAGGAACATACACATGGATAGTAGAAATCGGAAAGGCATCGTTAGCTTCGCAATTATGGTCGACAACTAGAGCGTGACTGGTGGCGCCAGCTGGCGTCTCTGAGCATGGTTCACGCGCATTCAATAGCTAATTAACTAAAAATCACGTAGCCGTTTCGATTTTAAGGAATTTCGTTAATAAAATTCGTTAATTCAAAACGTCGTATGTCGTTATAGTTGTGGACACGTTACTCTCCACATCGTGCATATTAATACTTGGTTATATACCAAGTACCAGTATTACCAGTATTAACTATAATACGACCTCGCTTTTATATATAAACAAGTTTCCTTGATCAGTAAACGGCAATACTCATTGTAAAATTTTTGAAAATAAGTGAGTAGGCAAATTCTTACATTGTAGCCTTTTTTATCGATTTTGCATTTCAGGTATATATAAGCTATACCTATATATGAGGATTCATTTCATTGCACGCGGAACTTTTAATAAATAAACATAAGTTAATTCAATTTTTCTGTTTCAATATACACGCGGCCGCTATCCGGTAGGCAGATATCTCGTGGGCGCTTGTCGCGCCTTCACGGCAACAAGCAACCCGGTGATACATAAGCTCATAAACGAAAGAAGCCGAGTTTGAAATAAAAAATCGACAATAGGTTAGCCAGCGCGCGTAGATTTTTGTGCGGGATTGTCGAGTGTGGTATGCGAGCGTAACAGTGCAGAGCAATGACGGCGGGTGCACAATGACGGCGGGTTTCTAGTGAGTGGTCGGCGGTGACAGTCGGCTGGTTTCTAGTGAGTGGTCGGCGGTGACAGTCGGCTGGTTTCTAGTGAGTGGTCGGCGGGTTTCTAGTGAGCGGTCGGCGGTGACAGTCGGCGGGTTTCTAGTGAGTGGTAGGCGGTGACAGTCGGCGGGTTTCTAGTGAGTGGTAGGCGGTGACAGTCGGCGGGTTTCTAGTGCGCGGTCGGTGAGGACAGTCGGCGGGTTTCTAGTGAGTGGTCGGCGGTGACAGTCGGCGGGTTTCTAGTGAGCGGTCGGCGGTGACACCGTCGGCGGTTCTAGTGAGCGTCGCAAGTTCTAGTGAGCGGTCCTGCGGTGACAGTCCGCGGGTTTCTAGTGAGTGTCGCGGGTTTCTAGTGAAGGGGGCGGTCGGCGGTGACAGTCGGCGGGTTTCTAGTGAGCGGACGGCAGGTTTCTAGTGCGCGGTCGGCGGGTTTCTAGTGAGCGGTCGGCGGTGACAGTCGGCGGGTTTCTAGTGCGCAGGTCGGCGGTGACAGTCGGCGGTTTGCTAGTGAAGGCGGTCGGCGGTGACAGTCGGCGCGGTTTCATAGTGCGCGGTCGGCGTGACACGTCGGCGGGTTTCTAGTGGCGCGGTCAGGCGGTGACAGTCCGGCGGTTTCTTAGCTGCGTCGGTCGGCGGTGACAAGTCGGCGGGTTTTGTCTAGTGGCGGCGGTCGGCGGTGGACAGTCGGCGGGTTTCTAGTGGCGCGTCGCGGTGATGCAGTCAGGCGGGTTTCTAAAAAAAGTTGGAGCGTCGCGGTGAACAGTGCGCGGTTTCTAGTGAGCGGTGGCGGCGGTGACCAGTCGGCGGGTTTCTAGTGCGCGGTCGGCGGGAACAGTCGGCGGGTCTAAGTGCGCGGTCGCGGTGACAGTCGGGCGGGTTTCTAGTGCGCGGTCGCGGTTGACAGCGGTCGGGTTTCTAGTGAGTTGGCGGCGGTTTCTAGTGAGTGGTAGCGGTGACAGTCGGGCGGGTTTCTAGTGCGCGGTCGGTGAGGACAGTCGCGGGTTTTCTAGTGAGTGGTAGGCGGTGACAGTCGTCGGGCTTTCTAGTGAGGTGTCGGCGGGTGACAAGTCGGCGGGTTTGCTAGTGAGTGGTCGGCGGTGACAGTCCGCGGGTTTCTAGTCGAGTGTCGGCGGTGACAGTCGGACGCGGTTCTATGTGAGGCGGTCGGGCAAGGTTTCTCAGTGAGGCGGTCTGCGGTGACGAGTCCGCAGGGTTCTAGTGAGTGGTCGGCGGGGTTTCTTAGTGAGGGGCGGTCGGCGGTGACAGTCGGCGGGTTTCTAGTGGAAAGCGGAACGGCAGGTTTTGAATAGTGCGCGGTCGGGCCGGGTTTCTAGTGAGGCGGTGCGGCGGTGACAGTCGGCGGGTTTCTAGTGCGCGGTCGGCTGTGACAGTCGGCGGGTTTCTAGTGCGCGGTCGGCGGTGACAGTCGGCGGGTTTCTAGTGCGCGGTCGGCGGTGACAGTCGGCGGGTTTCTAGTGCGCGGTCGGCGGTGAGAGAGGAGGTTGATGAGAAGGGTAGGATAGAGCAGCGGAATATTGTAGAGCAGGTGGCGGAAGAAGAGGAGGAGGAAGAAGATGATGATGATGAATAAGAAAAAAAAGGAGAAGAAAACGAGGAAGAGGAGGCGGTACAGTTGGTAGTTGAGAAAGGAAAATGTTTGAGAATAGACGTGGTAATGATGAGAGGAGATCGAGGGGAATAGGAGGATGAGAAGGATGATGAGGAGGAGGAGAATGATAACGATGAGGGGGATGGTAAGGAGGTGGTAGAGGAGGAGGAGGAAGACCAATTTGCAGTTATACATTTTGTGAGCACGTTCCAGTTAAGGTGTTGTTGTTTAATTAGTGGCCAGGCCCTGCATTTCACAGCTTTCTACGTGTGTGCGCGCGGAACCCGCAATAAGAGGGAGGTGGGGGGAGGTAGGCACAGAGCTTTGAGCTGAGAGACGTGTGATTTAAGGTACAATCCCTTTTCCGGGGTTTATATTAATTCGTACTATCCATAGCTAATTACGAGAATTAATAAGAAATAATAAAGCAACAAATTAGGGCTGACAGAAGTCACAATTTTCTATTCGTAATATTTACAATAGAAATCCATTTCATTTAAACAAAATAAAAAATACGAGTACTATAATAAGCCTCAAAATATATGATAAATGGTTAACTGATTATATTAGAATAAATTCATACTCACAAGTTTAAACTAACCCGAATTATTTCAAAGTACTTTGCATGGGTAAGTATTCGAATATGAGCCACTTCAATTTGACAGAACAGCGTGGACATTATAGATGTACAATATACGACAAAATGTAAATACGGAATTGACATCTGCAATAAAATAGAATATATATATATATATATATATATATAAACCAGTACACAAAACTCTTTCTGCAAATAAATCACTAATGAAAACGTATACAGAAAGCTCAAACTAATTCCATGACAAGAAGAGTCATCAAAACACGATTTATTCAGGAAAAATACATATCTCGACGTTCAAAATAATTCGATGTGTGATATTCATATTCACTTCTTAACGAATTATGGATTTTTAAACGATAAACTATTCGAGCCTTCGTACCAAGGCATAAATTTAAATCGCAGCATGTGGAAGCTGCAGACCAAGTATAGTCAACAAATGCCTGCACCACCACCTTAACAAGACAAACTTCATTCGCTTCTAACAACAAACGGCCAGATGCTCCATCGGCTTGTTATATCGCCCAAAGAAGAGGATCTGTCCAGATTTCTTGTCCTTGATGTAGAAGATAAACGGACGGTCAACCTTGACCTCCATTGGCGGCCTTGGCGCGCATCTCAGGTTCATGACGACCGCGGTGGCAGCTGCAGCTTCTGTACCCTCCTCATCCACGAGCATAAATGACTCATGCACAGCACTAGCCACGTGTAGATCATCCTCACATATGCCCTTCAGGTCACATGACTTTTCACTGCAAGAAGCCATAAATACAGATTCATTTATGGCCGCTGAGATTCATACACATTAATAAAAGTGATAGCTGCACTTTAAAAAGTAGAAAAATGAATATATGAAATAGAATGAGGAAATGGGGCTTGAAATTTACCAAGAAGTTATGTCGTTATGTGGTATAAATAAGCAACTGAACAGGTGAATTCCAGCAACATTCATTTGTTTTGCAAAAATGGAATCCGAAAACGAAGCCACAAACACAGATGCATCTATTGTGTATGATATGAAATTATATCGATCCAGTTTGGGTTAGAAAATTTCACAATTCACTCCTTCAACTTGTCACTGTCCTTATTTGGCTCTCAGCCTATCTGCTGCCATCATAACTTCATATTGTATCACGTAACATGAAGTTATTGACTCCTGGACAAAAACGACTGACAAAAATGATCTATTTGCTACTATCTAGTATCACTGTTGTGGCTATTGCAATGGATCATTTATTATTTCGCAGTGTCTGGCACTCAGACAATCACGTGATGTCAATAGAGACCATTGAAGACGTACAATTCATTTGAATTTGTAGTCATAACCTTATAACTTCATAAAGGATATTCCACAAAGTCTACAAGACTATAACAATGAAGGAAAGAGTCAAGGTTGATCAAATTCATAGATCAATACTGAATTTTTTTTTTTTTTAATTAACTAGAAAAGGGAAGAGAATTCCAACATCACTGACAACAATTTATGGAATGATTCTCAAAATTCGAAAAGCTTCAACGAGGTATTCATTCGCAACCTTATCTCATTGTATATATTAGTCCATTACGTCCACTGATTTGTCCAGTAGGTGATGTGATTTGCCACGATTGACTGAATATCAGAACCAAATCAAGTTCTCGATGCTCACTTAAATATCAAGAATAAAAGAAATTATGTAATATGGTAACAAACAGGGCCCATAGACTTCAGGGTGCATACCTGAATAGATCAGTTACACCCATCTTTTGTAGAGTTTTCACTAGGTCAACATTCATACGGATGCGGAACTGAGGCAGGCAGACGAACACAGAGTTTTCCATTATTAGTTGCTTCTCCATCTGATTCAGAAGGTCCATGTCTATATTCTTCTCAAACTATTTAAAAAAACGAAGAACGAACCTGATGAAAGCTGTAAATTTACAATCTTCGCTCGCTAACGTTTCAATCTCCCAACACTATATAATTCAGTAGCCGTAGAAATAGCTACTGTGCATGAATCGATAAGACTGACAATACATTAGAGACAAATTAGCTTAATGAATGACTGCAACATTACCAGTGAATTCTAATGATAAAGACTAATACCATTATGTCATACCTTTTGAAGGCCTTCAATCTCTGTTGGAACGACCAGGAACATGCTAAGGTCTTCATTGAGATAAGGCAGCTCAAGGAACCAGAAGCTGTGCATGGCATGAAAGCCAAGGTTGAACTTCCCACGCTGCTTCATCATCAGAACATTCTCTTTGCGCGTACTGCTCACGTGGAACACCTCCGGCTTGGTGAGCTGCACATTAAACTTGGATTTCCAATCTCCTTTGAAGTAGCAAGCATTGACAAGAACAAGCCGTGTGAGAGAGCTTAGTGAGCCCGATGGCAGGAGGTCAGTGATCCAGTTCTGTGTCTCTTCGCCCACCCATTTATTGATCTCCAGTCTGCTAGCTTCAGTATTGCTAGCGAAGTCAACGTTCTTTGCATCGGCTTTATAGAACTTCTGTGAAGCATCTTGAAATGTCTTCAGCAACCTTGGAAATACAAATGATTTCATATATTATACATTATAGTGACATAATGATTATCTTCTGATTAGACTATAAACCTTAATAGTAATGACTAAATAAGGAATTCACTCCAAGCTTCTTATTTGAGCTTAGTGTGTGGTTTACAAGGACTCATATCATTGATGACAAAACTAGCTATGCATGGACTTTTTAACATCTGTATACAAAGAAGCGTATCATCCACAAGTCTGAAGACTTACTTATAGTCATTCTGCACAAAGTGTCTGTTTGCTATGTGGAGAGACGAACCCTCGCGAGCACTGCGCACAACATCTAGCATCTTGCAAAACTCCTCATGCAAATCGCCGCTGTCCATCTCTAGAAGCTGCAAGGCTGTTTTCAGCTGCTGTGCTGTGTTGCCAAGGGCACCCAGCATTGTCATAGCCAATGAGAGGTGAATGCTTACCGGCGAGAAGAAAATATTCTCACCTGTGGGAGACAATGTTATTCGGTAGGTTGAATAATGGCATCTACATGGCAGGTAGAACTTTAATTAAAACGAAATTGCTTTCATGTTACTAACTAAATATTAACGTACCTGTTTTTTTACAATCCACAATGTAACTACTTTACTTACCTTACTTTGCACACTTTATTTATTTAATAATTTGTTTCAATCATTACATTAAATGAGTAAATTCACAATAAACTCACATGCTCACATGTTCGCACGCACCACGCACCCACACGCACGCACCACGCACGCACGCACGGCCACGCACACGCCACGACGCACGCACGCACACCACACACAACACCACACTCACTGCACACACACACACATATATATACTATTATATGTACCATCCTTTCCATCTTTGACAGTCTCGAAAAAATTGATTGTGAATTTGCCATTTGGCTGTGGAGAGAGGTGGGTGTCTGTTTGTTCTGCCATATTTTGCAAAGGTGAAAGCTGAAATTATGAAACCAGAATTTTTATATTAATGTGAACTCATGTATATATACACCATGTTGCAGTAAACAATGACATTACAATACAAAGCTGAAATAGTCATGGATCAGGGAGAATCCAGAAACTCACAATCACATGATGCTATATCAAAAACTAAATACATAATAAACAGATAGAATAAGTGAAGATGATATATAACCTATATATGCCTATCTGCTTATTCCAATAAGTGCAGCATGATTAGGTTGGCATAATTTTTTTATCACAGGCATTAGGACAGCATTTCTCATCAGACTCTTGTCTAAGAACCCCCACATTGTAGTCATTGGGTGCTATGACCATATACGTGACTGTTTATCACTTTTATGTGACCGATATGAAAATCTATACAAATGAAATAACGAGAACATTTTGTAAAGCAGTTTATAATTACTTGGAGTGTCATGTAAAAGCTAAAAATGCACGCATAACACACATTCTTTGAAAATAAACTGTATGGCATCAGGCTGTTCATAGTGAGGCTGTTAGTGTTAATTGTTCCACAGCACAGCCTTTACTTTTATATGTACTTGGGTATATCTTTTATACTGACATGTTTTTGAACCCAGTAACCACAAAATTGCAAAACTTCACTATCTGATTGTTCTATCTCACAATCATATATGAACACAACTGCATCTATCTCCCTAGTGCACTATATGGCATGCACTTTGGTTATTGGTTCTAGCTAATAATGAAATGATAGCAATTTAACACTAATGATGTTCACTCCCAAAGTTAATTATTACATAAAACAATAATTACACTGTTCCAATCATAGGTTCCAAATTAATTTAATTAATGCTCTTCCACAACTCACAATAAATACATAACTTTAAGAGATAGTGATTCAAGAAATACATTCAAGATATGTGGTTATATGATAATGATATAGAAGTGTATAGAGACAAAGAAGCAGTAGAAACTATAAAAACAGAAGCGATTGAGTCACAACTTTCATACTGTATGCAGCCTACCATGCAGCCCTTTGCTCCCACCACAGTACACATATCACTATATAGCCTAGGTACTACAGTAGTGTAATGTATTGTTTCATTATATTAATATTGTCCATACTAGATGGCGCTAGTTGTTCTCCCCAGAGGATAGAGCGGGAAGAATAGCGAAGGACCAGAGTAATGATGCGACTGCATTGTCCGTTATGTTTGTTATACTTGCATTTATTTCACAATAAATCTATGTGAATACATCACAAGTAGCTCCTGTAGCTTAGTACAATCCAACCACAGGCCCTTGGGGGCTCAAGTTTCAAGAAGAGTAAAAGAGCGGCTTCGTTCTTTTACCACAGGCCGCTTCGCTCTTTTACTCTTCTTGAAACTTGAGCCTCCAAGGGCCTGTGATCCAACACAGAGTGGAGTTCTCCTACTCTTGTTTGGTAATACCTTGGACTTGGAGTAATAACCTGAGTCAGCTTATTACTCCAAAGTAATACATTATTGGGTTCAGGGATAGGGAACATGTATTACCGCGGTACCACAGGCACAGTGTCAGTAGCCCTTCGCCCCCTCTACTGTAGCGGGACCGAGTATATACACCGGTAGAGCTAACTATAGTATACAACCTATAAATAAGTATATGCCCTATATAACATCAATCACACTATACCGTATACGTTACATGCAATTTGCAGTGTTTTACAACTTTATCGCACAGATTCTTACCTACGCCTGTAGTCGAGATCAGCCCCAAGTATCGAGTGAGACGAGACCGAAGAATGTTTGCAGCTTGTTGAAACTCTGGAAACGGAACTGGTGTTTAGCTCCTGCTAGCATAGGTCTAGAATAGCGTCAGATAATAAGAACTTCTACTCTAGGGCACAATTTATTGGTCTAGGCACTGACGCTCAATCGTTGACAGTGGGAAAACTGCACAGTGCACAGCTGCGCGATAACAGCGATTGATTTGCGATGGGCTTGGCAGGTAGCTATGGGCTTGGCAGGTAGCTAGCCCCTTATATACATACGCAGGCCAACCAGACAAACAGTACCACACAAGAGCAACGATAGAAACCACTTACTTGCAGCTATGCTTGCAGGTAATAAAGCTTACTTGGCGCAAACTATCAGAGTGACATGTGTAAACACCGCAGGACGCCCACAAGTGAGTCATGACCACAGGTCACAGCGTCAGCGATGTATAGACGGACACCATGTCGTTTTGCTTGCTGCACAAATTCGCTGAAGGTACTCATGAGCTGTGAGATGCCAGTCTGTACAACTGTAGATCCGGTTGGCGTTATTTTTTTCCCCAGGCAGGATCAGGGCTAATTACCATAAATGGGCGTGTCTATCGAGCTGGTGTTTTTGACGCATGCGCATTCGTTAAGGAAAATGCTGACCCTAGTGACCCTAACCCTAATTAAAATTTAATTAAAAAAATTATTTGTTGTTATTAAGTTGTAAATAAATCATGTAAATATTTGAGTTAATTAGAAAAAAATTGTTAAATATATAAAGATGGAAAAATACAGAAAACAAGAAAATTGGGATTCGATCTAACGACTTTTTAGACACGAGGTTAACGTGCTGCGTACTAGGCTATCGAGGACTACTGACGGAATTCGTTATGGATGTCCTATGAATATTACGAGACTGTGACGTTCCACCAATGGCACTGAAGTTCAACCAATGGCAGCGCGAGAAACACGACCATTATGGTAATTAGCCCTGAACTCGCCTGGGGAAAAAAATTACGCAAGCGGTCAGGGGCCGGTCTGAAGGGCAAAGAAAAAAAAAGATTTAAAAAAAATTAAAAATGACCATAATAATCTAGAGATATCTGAACCTATATATCCGGATTAAACATGCACTTAGGAACTTATTTTTGTAAAAATCATATTTTTGTCCAGGTAGGCCATTTTCAGCATTGACATGCAGGCGCGGATTTAGGCCGGTTTGCACCGGTTTCCAGAAACCGGTCACAGGCTGGGTATCTTCAGAATTGACCCTCAAAATTCACCAGAATGCACCAAATATAGCCTAATTTTTTTTTAATTCCCAGGGGGGGCATGCCCCCGGACCCCCCTAGCTGTGACTAGTACCATGGAAACTGGTCACCCAAACCCTCTGGATACACCCCTGACATGTGTGCGTGCTCATTACTCAAAACAATGACTTGCGACTTAGTCCGTATTATGCTGGAGCGGGTCACACATGAGAAACTAGGAATGGACCCCCCCCCCTCTATAGCGAATTTATAGATTTCAGCCATATGGTCATCAACTGCACATCGGTTTGGTAGTCCTGAATTCAGTGATTACATAACGTAGAGATTGTACCTGAGCCCTTAGAATTCATCTCAAACGTCTACTGTCACTGATGAACATTGTATACCTATCACCTCTTGTACTATATAAGTCCGGTGAAATACACGAGTTTGATAGATCGGAAGATGAATGGATAGACAACACTTGGAACTTGGATTATATATGCTTAATTGAGTTATCAAAGGTGTGTCCAGATGTGGACGCATATATGCCTCGATCTGCAGTAATTACGGCTTTATCTGCAATGAATAAGTAAACCTCTGATATATGCGAGGTTGAGTCTGTCTCATCAAGGAGATCAAGGTAAGTGGTGTAACGGGCATCAGCTAATAGACGCCAGGTGGCCACGTGCGCCGTCTACATCCTGTGGCATCCTCGGGTTTGGTTGGTGCGTACGGCAGTTTCAACTAGCAATAATCCCGCCTCGGATAAACCTCATCGGCTAGGATACTGCCACTGCGCAAAGCTGAAACCTATAGCCGTGACATATAATATACGTATTGCCGGGCACTTCAGATAATCTGTGGTGGATAAAGGTGAAAACCGATAATGTGCGGTGTGAATAAAGTGGAATATATTTATTACATCCATACTAACAAAACGGTTACAGGTTGGTTACTTGCGCATTTTAACAATTTGAAGGTCAATGGAAGAACAAACGAGTTCCCAGTGGCATGCTTTTGTTCATTAAAATTAACATTTAATTACCGAGCTCACACCATTTTTGGTTGCAAGTTTCTATCTGCATTCAGAAACAGTCTCCTTGTTTTAACATATACACAATATTTACTGTAACCAAAATACATCAAGGTATGCAGTTCTGTTTACAATTTGTCTGGTCACATTTACATTTATAGAGCAATAACTTTCCTATGATACAAAGGCATGATTCATGAAATCAAACACAGGACTTGTATTGTAACCAAAACTATTACAAACCTATTGCATGGCAAACCTAAATTTGTCTTCGACCATACACTCGCATTAATAATCAATATTATTCTAGATCATTTCACACAATTAGTGTAATACGTAAACACGTAACTGACGATCTGACCTGTCTTTCTTCAAATGTATAAAAATTACTCAAGACATGTTGCTTTATACAGCTGTGAGGAACAGTGATTTGATAGAGTTCCCACAATTTTGCAGTGATTCCTCTACTGCTAGACTATGAAATTTGTACTCATCCTAAAAATCCTTATCACTGATATAGTAATTTAGTAAATTTACTTGCCAAACAGGATGGAAGAGATAGAACGATATTGCCCTCTCCAACAAGAATTTATGCCGTACAATCATAATATGCATTACGGCACATGTCAGTTCTACAATAATTTGTGCGGATTATGTTCGTACAAACGTCTTTCCCGAAATCGTCTTTTTCTCAGCATTCTTCACTTCTGGCCGTGCCCGATTCAGTACCTTCAAGAAGTCGCCTGTCTTGGCTCGCATGCGCGAGTGGATGTACGCCTTCGAGCACTTGATGTGATAGTGAAGGTAGTCTCGGAAGGTGTGCAAAAGATTGATCGTGTTGTCGCGTGCTTGCGGGTTCGTGTGGCGTGCAAACAACACAAACGTGATGTAACCTATGTTATCTCCAACACGCGCATCCGTACCCTGCAGCTCTAGCGGTGGCTCCTTGTGACTGAACAACACCTACGTGAAATAAATCGATGAGACGATGCCACATGCTGCATGGACCCGCACCATGTCGTACATGTTATGAAAATGGATGGCATAACTGAGGCCATGCACACAGACTGGTTATGAGCTTCCACATTTTTTTTTTACATTATCTCTTCTGACCCACTCATGTGTGACTGATGCAATTGGAGAGAATTACTACGAATGCATGATAAAACACTTGCACCTTTATTAAATTATGATTAACTTAGACATGATGAGGCAAGTTAATCTTGTGTAGGCATGTTAATACAAACCTGTGGGGCAGTGTGGCTTGCACGACGACCTTCCTTAAACTCTTGCATGAATACTTTTCCAATGACTACATCATCGTCATCTTTAAACACAGTACTAAAAACAACTGTGACTCTGTCTGCCTTTGCTTCCACATACCTAGAATGTAAACAAAATACGAGTGAACTCGGAACACATTAATGTAAACAATGTTTAAAATATTGTAACAAATGTTACACTGGACGCTGGATAACGATTGCCGGGACACACACCTTCCACACACACTGCGAGTATAGGTGTTTTCTCTCAGGGAGAGAAACTTTCTAATGGACCAGCAATGCATTTTAAAACTTCCATGCCCAACTTTTGGCAGCTGGCCACATATTATGGCTCTTCCCAGGCCTTTAATGCATGCCGGGTTTGACATGCCTTTAAAGTTGAAGCTAATTTACGACATCCCATAAATCCTCCGACAAGCCTTAATTGCCTAATCACCATGCCCTAATTTCCAACTGTTTATTTTTGACAATGCCAACAGTCTTGCTTCTTTTTTTTTTACCTCAGCTTGGTCTATACACCTGCAAACTGATTGAGTTTACCTATGTATTGGGGCCATTTATGACTCACACAATTAACTCCAATTGGTACAATCCCCTCCTGGGCCCCTCCCTCATCTTTCCATATGTGACATGCCTTCCGAATGACATGAATTTCCTGGGGAAAGCCCTACATGTATCATTCATGTTAACTTTATTGAGAGCGATTGATCATGCTAAGTGCGATCTACACTATTCACTTTCAATCTAGCAATTTATATTACATTATTTAATTCACAGAATGTCTATACTATTTTAGCCACATATTTCAAGTATTAAATTCAACACACATTGTCTCTTCATCCCTGTACTGAACTACTGCTCGCTTGTTGCCTTCCTCTCCTTTCTCCTGGAATTCAAAGTACTTTTCGAAGACAGTTGCAAAGCAGTTCCTCTTCAGAAGACTGGCCTTGGTAACCACATCTTCAAAGTCTTGTGGAATTTGTTCAAGATCATACAATATTGATACATTGTAACCTGAAAATATATTGTCAAAGAAATATGAGTGTGAAAGCAATACACTTGCAATATCAGAAGAGGATTATACAATATATATATATATTTATTTATTAGCTTATGCTTTGTAATACCATGCATATACCGCAGCAACCATACCATGACAGTTAACGAATAGTTGTCATCATGGCAGCATAAAAATTATTAGTTTGGCGGAAATGTTATTCTTGAATGGCATAACTCAGACATTACTGCCATTCACACATGTCACATAGCACTTACTAGTCGAATTAAAGTCATATCAGTGATATAGCCACGGGGAAAACGAGATCAGTTGACAACAGTTGACAGCTTCTAACCAACCCCTACAGTGTCAGTGACACTGTCAATATTGACAATATTACACCGCACACGGTCTATATATCGTTTGACAGTTTCTTGGAGCAAGTACTTACCATCTTCTGCGTCTGTTATGTAGCTGCCATACTCTCTTTTCAGCAAATCGTCCGCTCCGTGTTCTTGCAGTTGTTTATAAAATTTCATTGAAATACTAAGCCGTATCTTAGATCTTTCCTGTGGGCTTGGATTCGAGATATGATACATCACTCCGTCAAAATCAGCGATAGTAATGTCCACTGACTCTGGTTTACCACCCGATTGCACATTCCTGAACTTGTTTGTGAGTGTGTCGACAATAATGCGATTCTGAATCTCTAGTAAAATCATGTTTCTAAACAAACTAATGCCCGTAGACAAACCAAAATATAGTTTAAACAGCGAATTTCATAAACTTCCGCACCCTCATAACTTGCCACCGGAAAACGGAAGTTTACTGCCGGGTATCACTTTAAAGTCAGCCGCCTACCATCACGCGTCTTACGTTTTTCATCAAATCTATAAACATCTGTAAAAAATAAGATACAAATAAATTGCATTAGTCGTGCATAATATTACAGCGTACTACGAATAATCTGACAAAAAATTAATCACATAAATAACTTAGATTTGAAATTAAGTTGCAACATAATGTGAGCGAGAGATTACGATAAGAGGCGGATGACTTTGTGCAAGACAGTGAACCACTTTCAAGATGGCAGCGCCCAGTACAAAAGCAGTTTTGTTATCTCTGGTTGACGATGTAGAAATTATAACAAAGTAAGCATAGAATAACAATGTGTTAATCCTAGATATATGCTTAATATCATTGGAGTAAAATAAATATATTATTCGATGCCCACTTACACCCTACAAGGCTACATGTTTACGTACCACGTAAAACAACAAACACTAAATCAATTCGTATGCGCTATTCGTCTGAGCAGTTGTTGCGCATGCGCTGTTCATGTTGTATTACATAAGTGTACATGCTAGTCTAGGGAGGCGCCTACTCCCTATAACCACGCCTACTCTCTAACCCTAAACCTAATCTTAACACCAGCCCTAACACTAACACTAACTATAAACCGACTCGGTTCTCTTATTATACGCTCGGTTTCTTATATATACGCGAGTGATAGTACCAAACACTATCTATGGTGTATAACCACATACGCAACGCATGTATGCAGGGGTGTCACAGCCGTAGGGCTGCCGTAGCAAAACGCTACGGGACCCCAGCCTACAAGGGCATAAAATAATCAAAAATCTAAAGGGTAAATAGCATTTTAGAGCGTCTAGATTTAAAAATGGTCTGGGGGGAACCCTAACCCGAACCCCCAGACCCCCCTTTCAGGCCTTCACACTTCCTACCTACGGCACTCGTGCCGTGCGCCTGCGGCATGCAACATGAACAGCGCATGCGCAACAACTGCTCGGACGAATAGCGCATACGAACAGGTGTCCGATGCTTGGACGAATATCCACGTCGTAAATCAATACACTTCGAGCCTCCTAAGAGTCAGACCTAAGGCTGAGAGTGAGAGGGTCTATATCCCCCAGGGTACTGTCGGAACGTACCCTGGTACTATCTAATATGCCGGACCGTACCTCGCCTACTCTACTAACGAGTCTAGGGAGACGCCTACTCTCTAACCCTAACCATATCAGATAGTTACCAGGTACCCAGGGTACGTTCCAGCAGTACCCTGGGGGACATAGACCCTATGCCAGGGGTCGAAATTAGCGGTATCCCGATATCCCCGGGATACCAGATTCTTGTGCGGGATACCAGATTTCAATGCTTGGTATCCCGCCGGGATAGTAAAAAAAAAATCGTCATAATCGGGATAGTGGTTGTTGAGTTATCAACTTTATACGGCAGCGCATCTGAGCGAGTGCGAGTGCGCGCCCTTAGTTACTAATTTACTATGCCACACTAGCGTTTTTATACAGCAGGCATAGCATATTTGCAAGCGCAAGCGTTATTGTGATTAAGCAATACGTGGCCGATGATGATCATAATTGTGAACATGTGTATACATTGTATCATGATTGTATCAAGCGAATAAGATAGAACCAGACAATGCGTCTAGACAATACGTCTGCAGTGTACTGTGGAGGCGTATGATATATATCATAGATATATATATACACAACACCTGTGTTGTATATAATATATCTATGGTAAAATGAAATGCTCGGGAATGCACTCAGCCCACTAATGATTAGACGCGGGAGCGACGCTCGCGGGAGTATAATTATAAATATGCTGAGCACTGGTATTGCGTGCATTGTGGAGAGGGATGCGCTTCGCTCACTCTGCTGCTTCAGATTTGTTCCTGTTTTTTTAACCACACTCACAGGCCTGTTGTTTTTCATTCAGTAATTACCTTTTGCTCTTATCACGTCATTTTAATGTTTTGCTCTTCGGAATTGTGTCTAACCTATACAAAATGTTGAAATCTTGGCTGAAAAATACTCGTCAAACATCATCTCCCGTTGTTATCAACGAGGAAGAGACAATAGACAAGATTGAAAGGCCAGAATCAGTGGTAAATCAGTGAAAAGAAAAGTGTAGAGAAGCAAGAGAAAAGGAGATAAAACGCCGGTATGAACAAACGAAAAGGGCAAGGAAGTTCAAAGAATCCTGGAATAAATCATTTCCCTGGGTGACATTGACAGATGGCAAAATGTTTTGTAATTCTTGTCTGACCAACAGTGCCTTAGCAGATAAAGACAGTAAATTTGTGAAGGAAGCCTGTGTGAATTTTCACATTAAAGCACTTCAGATGCATGACAAGAGTGAAGGGCACAAAAAGTGTTTTGGTAAGAAAAAGGCAGAATCTGCAGTTCCAGGCACAAATCCGGCAGGAAAAGCTTTAAAGAGTTTGAATGACAAAGAGTTTGGGAAATTACAAAAACTGTTCAGAATCTCTCACTCCATTGCGAAAAAAGGTAAAGCATTCACTGACTATACCTGGATATGTGACCTAGAAGAGGCTAACGGAATGGATCTGGGTGAAACGTACCGGCATGACAGGGCTGCACGGAAATTTGTTACCTACATTGCTGAGAATGAACGCATTAATATGTCAAAAGAACTGAATGCAGCACCATTTTATAGTGTGATCTCCGACGGATCCACTGATTCGTCAGTAACAGAAGCCGAGATCATGTACGTCAGATACTGTAACCAGGGAAAAGTCAACACCAAGTTTTTGGCTTTCCAAAACATTGCAAAAGCGAATGCAGAAAATATTATGCAACTAATCGAACGGACTCTGAAGGAGTACGGGGGCATTTCGGACCCAAATCTGTATGCCAAAATAGTAGGATTCGGCGCCGATGGTGCAAGTGTGAACATGGGAGTAAACACTGGAATTGGCGTGAGACTTATAAAAAAGCAACCATTGCTGACATCAGTTCATTGTATGGCACATCGTCTTGAACTTTCATTCAAGGATGTACTGAAAAGCTGCAACTCTAAACTCAAAATTACCAAGCTGCTAGAGAGTTTGTATCTCTTCTACCACAACAGTGCGCTTAACAGGAGTATGTTGAAGGTTGCTGCTGAAGCCCTGCATGTCACTGGATTCCCAGCTCGTGTGTCCGGTACACGATGGATTCCCCATACCCATCATGCAATACAAACCATGTGGAAGATTTACCCTGCTCTACTACAGCACTTGGGTGAGCTTCAAGTGAATACCCATTCAGTGGATCAGTCAGCTAAGGCCAAAGGGTTCCTTCACCTGTTTAATAGCCCCACGTTCA